GGCGTTTTCAAAACCCAACATCAGGCAGCCGAAGGCAAGTTGCTGGGAGAATCTATGAATATTAATAGGTATTTATTAATAATTAAAACATAGTTTGAACATGAGAAAATTCTTTCTGTGATGGCTGATGGCGACTGAACACAAATAATATGGTAATGGCAAAATTAGTCGTTTCTGCACAGAAAAGCTTCGGCATTAATGTTGAGAATCATGAAATCATTTAATAAAAGCAAGTTTTTTTTCCAGAAAATTAGACTTAAATGGAATGCTTTTTATTGTAAAAAGATTTTCAATGAATTTAACTGTAAAATCATTTCTAATATATTTTTATAGCAAAATAAGTTGCAATGCATTTTATAGTAAAATCATTTCCAATACATTCTTATTGTAAAATAAGTTGCAATGCATTTTATAGTAAAATCATTTCCAATGGGTTTTTTTTTTATTGTAACATCATTTCCAATGCATTTTCGTAGTAAAATTATTTCCGATGCCTTCTATTGAAAACCATTTGCAATACATTTTTATTGTAAAATCATTTCCATTGCATTTTTATAGTAAGATTATTTGCAATCCATTTTCATTGTAAACTCATTTCCAATGTAATTTTTATAGTAAAATCATTGTCAACGCATTTTTAAAAGGAAAATCACATGTAATTCATTTTATAGTAAAATTAATGCCAATTATAGTAAAATCATTTCCAATGTATTTTTATAGTACAATCATTTCCAATGCATTTTCAAAGCAAAATCATTTGCAATGCATTTTTATAGTAAAAATCATTTGAAATGCATTCTTAAAATAAAAACAAAAACAAACATGTCCAATGCTTTTTCATAGTAAAATCAACATATTTAAATGGTAAAACCATTTCCAATGCATTTTTCTAGTAAAATCATTTCCAGTTCATTTTGCCAATAAAATCATTGCCAATAATAATGAGAAGGAAAAATATAGCCGTTTCCTTTAAAAAATAATTTGGCAATCATTGACCGAACACTTTACGTTAAAGTCAGTCGAAATGTATAAAATCTTTTTCTAAAGCCAGCTTTTCCGGAAATCAGACTTCTCAATTCCATTAAATGTTGTTGCTCTTTCTAGCATTGACAATATATAAAGCTTTGCACTCCAGAAATTTTCTGGATAGACCCCATTCACAAAAGAAGGTTCGCTCACCTTAAAAAGATTGTCTACACTGCTGACAAGAGACTGACGTCCATTCCTACTTGGAACGTAGATTTTTTAGGCGCATTACGAGATTCTAGGCGGGGTCGATACATTTACTTACGCACGCATAAATTTGTGAATTCATCTCTTCTTCCCCCTTTGGATATGGATTGAATAATAGGAGAGAATGGCTCCTACAGCACAGAAAGAAACGACAGCATATGGAACCGCGTTGTATAAAAACGATAGCATATGGAACCGCGTTGTATAAAAACGATAGCATATGGAACCGCGTTGTATAAAAACGATGGCATGTGGAACCGCGTTGTATAAAATCGATGGCATGTGGAACCGCGTTGTATAAAAACGATAGCATATGGAACCGCGTTGTATAAAAACGATGGCATGTGGAACCGCGTTGTATAAAATCGATGGCATGTGGAACCGCGTTGTATAAAAACGATAGCATATGGAACCGCGTTGTATAAAAACGATGGCATGTGGAACCGCGTTGTATAAAATCGATGGCATGTGGAACCGCGTTGTATAAAAACGATAGCATATGGAACCGCGTTGTATAAAAACGATGGCATGTGGAACTGCGTTGTATAAAAACGATGGCATGTGGAACCGAGTTGTATAAAAACGATAGCATATGGAACCGCGTTGTATAAAAACGATGACATGTGGAACCGAGTTGTATAAAAACGATGACATGTGGAACCGAGTTGTATAAAAACGATGACATGTGGAACCGAGTTGTATAAAAACGATAGCATGTGGAACAGAGGTGTATAAAAACGATAGCATGTGGAACAGTGTTGTATAAAAACGGTAGCATGTGGGACAGTGTTGTATAAAAACGGTAGCATGTGGAATCGAGTTGTATAAAAAACGAAAGCATGTGGAACAAAGTTGTATAAAAACAAAAGCATGTGGGACAGAGTTGTATAAAAAGGATAGCATATGGAATCGAGTTGTATAAAGACGATCGCATGTGGAACAGAGTTGTATAAAAACCATAGAATATGGAATCGATTCGTATAAAAACCTAGCATGTGGAACAGAGTTGTATAAAAACGATCGCATGTGGAATCGAGTTGTATAAAAACGATGGCATGTGGAACAGAGTTGTATAAAAACGATCGCATGTGGAATCGAGTTGTATAAAAAGGATAGCATATGGAATCGTGTTGTATAAAAACGATAGCCTGTGGAACAGAGTTGTATAAAAACGATCGCATATGGAATCGAGTTGTATAAAAACGATGGCATGTGGAACAGAGTTGTATAAAAACGATCGCATATAGAATCGAGTTGTATAAAAACG